CTGTGGGACACGGTGGTGAAGTTCGGAGAACCTATCCTGATGGGGACAGGTCTGGAGGAGAAAGCTAGAGGAGAGCTGCTGAGCAAGATGGTCGAGTTGAGGAAGGCACCACGAAAGACCAGAGAAGACAAATGTAAAGACAGCTCTACTCCGAAACAAAAAAACTGACGATAAAATAATTGAACATGTAAGGGGGGATAAGATCGAAACTAGTAATATAATTAAAAGTACTAATATCCTTAAGGCTCGAGCAGGGGGAGGCAAGAGTTGGAAGGGTTGGACGGAGACAAGGAAGTCGAATCAGTGATAATAACGACAAGGCCCCCGAGCAAAGACGTGAGGTCTCGCAAGAGGAAGAGAGACGTGGAGGGATTGTGCAGTCCTTCAGTGGATGCGGTCTCGGAGAAAAACTTGAGAGAGACGGCCCCCATGGTTCTGGCACGATGGAAAACAGCAGCCTACAAGAGTAGCTACGAGCCGCGGAAACTGCTCGACGTAGAAAAGGAGATGGAGATCCCCACCAGCTCAACAAGGGAAGAAGACTTCAAGCCTCAGAGAATAAAAATGAAGCGAGGTTCGACGAGCGGGCAGACCTGGGAAGTGGACGTCGGCAAAGAATGGGTCTCAAATGAACACCAGGCTACCGGGAAGCAAGTGGCTAGCGATCCTCTTGAGAAAAATAAAACGAGGAACACCGCCCGACCGTGGTGGGTGGCCCTGGAAACATTGCAGGAATTGGAAGACTGCCTGAAGAAGCTCGACAGTGGAGTGTCACGCAAACGACGCAACTGGGCTACCCAGCAGAAGGCTGGTATCAATAAATTAGAATTGGGAAGCCAACTGAAGAGAACTTGGCAGAACTTGTTAAAGGATCATTTTGAAGAGGCGATGAGAACATCCTCATCGGCATCGCCGTTGATGGCGAATCCCTTTATTAGGACCGCAGGACAACTGATGTTCGCGTGGAGCGTGTTGGGGATAGAGTTAGAGACACTGACTTCGTACGACAAGTTGAAGTTGGGAGGCAAGAATCTAGAGGTGTATCGAATGCTGATGCAGCACGTTGCTAGGGACAACTCAGGCTTGAGTCTGGCAAGGAGGAAAGATGCTACCTGTTTCTTGAGATGGACAATGTCGATGATGACTGACAGTACCATCCTAGCATGTCACCAGAGAGCAATTGGAAGCAAGACGCTGGAAAGGAGAGTCTCCACAGTCATCTTGAATGTGTACCAGAGTACTGGGATAGAAAAGGAGGATGGTTCTAGGCAATCGCTAGAGAGCCACAGGAAGTTAGATGAGATACGGAGATTCTACAACAAGAAATTCGAGGAGAAACACGACGTTCACCGTAACTTGGCTTCTTCAGGAGAGTACTTGAAACCCAACAAGAAGCGAGGGTATCAGTATGTGTCTGGAGTGATGGGGATGGCATACAACCCTTTCTTAGACTTAGAAGCTGGAGGTGCCCATAGAAACTATGAGGTGGCGGAGCTGCTGAAGTTCTGGACAGAGAGGATAATGGAGATAGACCCTGTGGAAAGAGAGAGACCTAGTCTAGGTTTGATTCTCGAGAGAACACCGGAAGTAATAAGTGTGCCACGCTCAAGTAAAAGAGTAGAACTAAAAATGGGTAACGGGAACGGCATGTTGACCACGAATCTGGGAGTGGTGTGGAAATTGCTCAGGCCCTCCTGGTGTCCACATCCTCATGCGAGCCTGATCGAGGAAGTCACTGAGCGAGTGAGATTGGCGCCGACAGAGGATGAAGATTTAGCGACCTTGAGTATAGTACATAGACTGGTCCTGCCTCATATGAAGGAGTCAAATGAAATGACGAGTGGAACAGGGTCGGTAAAGAAGATGCAGCCGGGCAGTTGTCTTGACTCGACGTGTGGGAATGGCGAGCACACCTGTGATGGACGATCGTGCGTCAGGATACAGTCTTTCCAGAAAGAAGACCTAGTCACCTGGTTTGAAGATATCACCGAAAGGGAGAAAAGTGAGATACAGATAGTGGCTGAGTGTTACGCGAGTACCACTGTGAACCTAGCAACAGCTCTGGGATTCTTCTCAAGAATGTGTAGTCTCCAGTCACTGGAGAGGCTAGAGTCAGAACACCACTTGGTGACCGCGTTGAGCGTGGAGTCATGGCCCGGAGTGTTGCAAGTGATCCAGAAACACATCAAGAGTTGGAAGGTTGGACTCGAGGCTGAGATGGGATTTCCCATGAGCGAAGCCTATGGACTGCCTCTAAATGCGAAGTCCCTAGTGGGGTCAGTGATGGCCAACCTATGTGGCAGCCACTATCCATTACACATGGCGATGGTAGAAGTGTCCAGCCAGAGGATATTGGTAGACAAAGCCTTCTCAGTGCCCAAATGTGTAAGACTAGCTTGGATGTCACATCATTCACACAAGCTGTTGAGGAAGATCCGAGGAACAGTGCCTAAAGAACAAAGGGATGACTTGAGTGAAATCTGGGGTGAAGAACTTCTAGGCTTGGAGAGCGAAAATACAAGTGACCTCGAGAGACAAAACGTGATGGGGAAACCCATGGTAGGTGCCCCTAACTTGGGAGAAGTCGACGTGATACACGAGAAGATGATGGAACTTGAGCCTCTCCTGGAAGCCTCGGGAGAACGCAATCTTAGGAGCATCGACCTCACACACGGGGATTGTCCATGCCACTGTCTGGCGCAGACAGTGTGGTACCCAGACCAAGCCAATCTCTGCCTGATCTGGGATGTAGAAGAAATCAGGTCGTTGGGATTACCCGAGCATCAACAAAAAGTGACCATCTTGGTGGTGAGCACAATGCTGGCTCTGCGATGGATGGAAGAAAACATAGCAAAGTATCGAGAATCGAAGACACCAACATCAGAGTCGATTCATGCGATAGATTACAGCAGGAGACTTGAGTTGTTCGAGACAGCATGCAAGGTGTTCGCCATACCAATGGAAGTCAGACACGTGTGGAGCCGCATGAGATTCTTTCCTTGGTTTCGCGCGACGTTAACATCCTGGTTATATGTAGCGACGAAGGATCACATGAGGAAACATCAAAAGGAATATCGACAATTCCAGTCCGAGATAGGACCAGATGCCTTCAAGAGACCTCTGCTGACCCATCGAAATGCGATCACGACGGGTTGGAAAAAAGTGGGTAGAGTATCCAGAGATAACACTAGAGCGAGGGAGTCAATACTGGAAGAGGACCTGGCGAAGATTGTAAACCTGAGTCTTCACAATTCCTTCTGTTTGAACCGGGAGTCGAAGGTGAAGAGCTTGCCGAATCAAGCGAAGAGATTGCAAGAGCAAAGGGAGTGGATGCGATCCTATGAACAGCTGAAGGCTTGGGAGGAGATTTTGATCAGCTCCGATGACGAAGAAGCACTATTAGAACAGATCACAGTGTCAAAAGTATCTGGATCGGGTACCTCGAGGGCGAAGAACACAAGGTGAGCCAGTGGCTCAAAAGGAAATTTCTAGAGTCTTGATTCTTGAGAGGGAGGGGGCTCGAGGGTGAACTCGGATGAAATCTGGGTTCACGAAAAAGAAATTTTAACAAATAAGATATTGTTATTAATATGCTAGATCTATTATATAAATCAAAATGCTGCATGACAATTTCCTGATTGAATAGGACAAAAGAAATTTTAAATTACCAGCTTAAAAAGCGAGAATTCATAGGTGCAGGTGTGTGCAGATTTTGATTGCTGTTTAGCGATAGTGTGAAAATTTTATATGGTTGTGAATTTTGGAAGGTAGATAAATTTAAGTCTGCTGCAAACTTCTGTAAATGACCACTGGCACTGTATCTTGAGGGACACTCGGGCTTCTGGGGATTCACTGACAAAGACAGCACGCAATGAGGACATCGATCTTGAGTCCGGGGAGTATGTGCCAGTCGGTCATGTCTGGAAGTTTGACCTTGAGAGACACGAAAATACGTAATTCTGGAGTGAAGTTTTAATTTTCAAAATTTCGAATGGAGCCTGTCATGCTCAGTTTTCTCGTACCAACTGAAAACAAAAAGTGAAAAAACAGAACATCCGAATTTACAATTGCGGGAAAATACTCAAGAAAAACAGCAGAAAATTGCTATTCGCAATTTCCAGATATAAAGTAGGACACGAGTAGAGCTGTCTTATCCCGAAATAGGAAGAGAGATAATAAAAAGAAGAGAGAACTATTATTCGGAACAAACTAGAGTGAACCTTCAATGGAAAGGTGGACAGCTTGAGTGTCCTAATGGTTCATACAAAAACTCCAATTCTAGAGCCAGAATTTACTTCTGTTACCAAAACTGACCAGTATTAAACTTATCTAGTTATATTATCTAATTCTTGAGTTGCTTACCAATTTAATTACTCCTTGTACTCGAGTGCATCAACATGTGAGTACCTAATTTAATTTTCTCGAGTGTGTTTTATGATTGTTGTGTTGAGATAAGGCGAGTTTTAGGTTGATCCATCTGAAATGGATCAAAGTTCCACTGTCCAATAAAAAGTAACTTGACGGATTGTTTCGACCCTGTTTTTAACGGCGTTCATATATTTTGGGTATTTTGAGACCTAAGTATGGGAACGTTCTTATTTTCTAGAGTGGGGGGATATTTTGGTAGTAGCCTTTAAGCTGTAATGGGTTCTAGTCTCATGTCGCAAGCGAACCGAATTGGCTCCGACCGTTCTTGAGGTAGAAAAACACAAGAGATAGTGTCCCTGACTCTTGAGCCAATGGTTATAGGGCCTATTTTTCTTAAGCCTTATATGTGACTGAAGTAGGCGACTGTTACAAACATATGCCTCCTTTTCGGAGGTGGCGTTTGCAAATATGGCATTACGTTTGATCGGCCATAATTTGGCAGCGAGGAGGGTAAATTTATGGTGAATACATACAAGTTAGCTGAGCGAGCAATAAACTGAAAATTTTGTTACCATAAAAGAAAACTAATGCAACGAATAATGTGTTTAGTAATTAAAGTGTTTCTTCTTCTTCATAAGTCATGAGTTTCAGGTTTTTGTGGTTTTGAGTAAATTGTTTACTATGCGAAAAAGCGGTCGAGCATCCACCAAACCAGAGCTGTTCCAAGTGTCAGTTGCCAATGAGAAGCAGAGAGAACTACAGGCAAAACAAGCAGCTAAACATGAACAAAGCTCGTCCAGCGAACAAATTGCAGATAATGGTGGCCAGAAACTTCCTCCGGTAGATGTGCGCTGCTTCAAAGAAACCAATCCTGAAGCGAAGTGTATTTTGTGCAAGAAAACTAATGAGGATGAGATGTTGTGGGGTGAGCTGTTATCCTGTTATGACCCGGAAGAGATGAAAAAGTTAGGGATGGGACCAGAGCAGCTGAGCAGTAAAGCACAGAAAGGGAATTCAGTGTATGGCCAGTTGAGTGCGACTTCAGTTCACTATGGGTGTCTGTTGAGTGCGTGTAATCTGTGGCAAAAGGGAAACGATACTCTGCAGCTAAAAGGATTTCTAGTCTCGGTAAGTCCCATCAATCTACTACTTCTCAAAGTTCACCAGCATTAATAATTGTGATTTCATTTTTTGGTTTACCTCTTACAGATCTTTAAATAATCATCAAGTTTTTTTTCGTAAGCTTCACAGCAACAATTTGTTTCTCTGAAAACATGCGTGTAATAACTGTTATAAATTTTCTTCGCGAGTAATTACTGCAATACATGTGGAATTACTGTGAAAGGAATTGGAATCAACAGAACCCTTGCTCATGGACTTTTATTTATGTTTGTGAAAACTGTCGTGCAAACCCTAGAACTTAAACAGTGGGGCTAACACCCCGGTGGTGTTTCCACCAAGTCATAAAATAATAGTGCAGTTTTTTGATTTCTTATCTTGTGATTTTGTTGTTTATATAGCACTTCATTCTATTCTGGATCGCATGAAACTTAAATTGTAAAATGTTGAGGATTTTAAAACTGTTTTCTAAAGTAACTCATCAGTGTTTAAATGTTTTTACAGATGAGGATAGTAAGAAAATTTTTCAAAACGTAGCAAAAAAGGTGCACTTAGAAAACCAAGCATGCATTCGTAACGCTTAAGAGTAAACGGGCCAGCAGTTTTTGTGGGCTCTTTTCAGAATGACGACGATATTTTGAATATCTCTTTTGGTTACAATATCCTAATTTAAAAAAGTGTCCGAACCATGAGTGTCAAACCATCATTCAATATAAGAGAACATAGCACAAATAACAACTAAAAAGGAAGAACGGTATCTTGAATTCGAACTTCTTCGTCCCATTACTGTATAAGCTATAACAAAGAATTATTTATATTTCACATTGTTTGCAGGATGTGCGAAGTGAGAGCAGGAGGTGCAGTCGTGAAGTGTGTGTGTTCTGTGGACAGAAGGGGGCAGTGGTGGGATGCTGTTTGAAGAAATGCAAACGGATGTTCCACTTCCCCTGTGCACTAGCCAGCGATAAGTGCATCACTGAGTTTTTTGGCTGCTACAACTCTTACTGCGACTTACATTCTGAGCCACAGCAAATTCCACCTCCGGGTTAGAAAACGATTGAATCAAAGTTTTTTTTTTTTTAAAAAACAACCTTTTATGAATCCACCTGCTTTTTGTTAATCGCCCCTCTTTGAAAATCATTTTAGACGATTATTTCAACTTGTCAAAATTTATTTCAAATTGAGCACGTTGAGGTTAAAATAGATTTTGAAGGTCTGAACTAGTAATAGAAGTCGTAGGAGGAGACAATAAAAGACCGGAATACTAGCTATTCAGAAATCGAATTTCCCAGATTTGGATGCGTCGTTATTGTGAGACGATTAAGAATGATTTGTGTGTTCCAGAGGAGGATGAGATTTGCTCTTTCTGCGTGGAGCCACTCGTGGGAGAAGAGAGAAGACTTTTCTGTGCAGAGTGCTGTGGAAATGTACTACATACTTCATGTCTCCGGCCTTATGTCTACAATGCAGGTCAGTCACAACGCCTTGACCCATTTGAACTAACAGGGTTATAAAAAAAGTCTTATATATCCAAGAGCCAAGGATGGTTGAGATACTCTGAAAGCCTATAAACGACCCAAAGAGGAAACAGCGTTCTTAGGGTTCTTCCAGGATATAAACTGCAATAGTAAAACTTTGAATGATGTTCGTGTATTGCTTATGAACGTGAATAAATGTTATTTCAAATGAGTGGGTTGTTAAATGAACTATTGTATAAATGAGTGTAGTCTATCATATGATTTGTTTTGTAATGTTTTGTGAAGGCATGTACTACCTGAAGTGTCCCTTCTGTCAGAATGTGAGGAGGTTCAAGGAGCTTGTGTCCATGTATTCTGGCATCCACATCCCTACCAGGGAGCCCACCTACGAGAACCATGACCGAATGGTAGTCGAGCTAGTCTGCTGCTACGAACACTGCCCGGACCCTGACTTGTAAGTCACGCTTCATGTTGAAACTTTGCTGTAAAGATGGGGTAACTCGTATGAATAAGATGCAATATACGTTCAAAAACGATGATCCTGTGGAGTAAAAACTTTTGTTGACAAGAGTAAAAACTTTTGACTAGCTCGAAAGGGGTTACAATAAGGTCAACCTTCATAAACTTATGCATATATATATATTTAATAAATTAGGATTAATGGAAACATTGGAATATCGGCCTCAAAAATGTAAAAACACAAGAAGTGAAGCTTACATTCGTTTTTTGTGTTATTAAGATTGCAAAAATATATTTCAAATATCTCTTCATGCTTAAAATCTAAGTGTTTCGCTCTTTTTTCAACTTTGACAGTGTGTTGGTTAGGTGTCTGGACAATGAGGACTGGCGTCTAATCAAGTGCACGGTGTGTGGGAGTAGGGCGATGCATGTGATGTGTGTGGCCAAGGCATTCTCCCACTCCCGCTTCATCTGTCCCGACTGTGGGGACAACGACGCCACAGAGGCGTGCTACAGACTACAAGTCAGGTACGTCATACAGTTTAGTCCAGTCTTAAAACATGTATCCACTTATGATTGAAAGCATATCGATTGTTGTAAATCAGTTTGAAAAAAATGGCAAACAGGAGGGGCTATAATTTGTTGCTTGTAGACTTTATTGGGTTCTAAATTTTATGTGCGAATTTTCCACTCCACTTTTCCTAACTGAAAAAAAAGAAGTAATAGAAGCTAAGGTAAAATGCTCAAGAGGAGCTAAAGAGCTCTTTTACAAATATAGCGTACATATAATGAAAACCAAGGACCGCCGAGCAATCTCGAACAACATTGCCTGTAGACAAACCACGTACCCAGTTTGAAACAAAATAGCCATAAAAGATATCCATTAAAAAAATTTTAACATCTTTGTTACAGTGAAAGATATACTGTTTCTACTCGTCCGATGTTTCAAAGATTGGGTGAATTTTTTTCACCCTGCCTTTCCTTAAGTGTCAATTAATGGTTGTGAAGACACTTAAGTATGTCGTGTTGATTTTAAGAGTAATGAACGTAGTGAGCACTCTCATATAGGTCTTGCTGATTTTTTTGTTTTTTTCTTTCAGCAAAAAGTTTTTAAATTTTCTTCACGCTCAGTTTTGGGTTTTCGCGGCTTGATTTGTGATTTCTTTCTAAGTTCAGTGCATTCCCATTGTTAAGAAGAAGGCAAACTCTACTATCGAACAGCAAGTGTAAAGGTCAGAAAAATATGATCGACTTCTGATTTCGAAACTGGAAATTAATTATCAGATTTCCCTGCGAAATAAAAGTTTTACGTATTGATCCAGTTTTCTCAAATTGGGTTAATTTAAACAAAAAAGTCTCCATCATAAATTGTGCTACAAATTCAAAGAGCTTGAAGGCCATCCATTTTTTTCGAAATTCAAAAGTTGAAGGCTCTTGAAAAAACAAGTCAGTTTTTTTTCAGTTTACTCGTGTTTATTACTCTTTTCCAACTGTTAGTTGGCTATGTTTTATCAGTAAAACAATTTAAAAGTTGTTCACATTCAATTGTTTTATCGCGACTTGCTTTTTGATTACTTTTATGTTCAGTTCAAATTAATATGCTAAAAAGAAGGCTAAACCTGCTGTCCAATTGCGAAAGCGCAAATGGCTCAAAAAGATGTGATTTCAGAATTCCCTGCGGACTAGTGTTATTTATTGATCAAGTTTTTTGAAATTGGGTTAGTTTTGATATTCAATCATTTTTTTGCCTCTTTGAGCTCATTTACAATTTATCGAATGTTTGTCTTGAAATCCTTGTTGATTTTGAAACAATCAATATTTTTTTGCTAATTTTTGGTTCAGCTGGAGTCAACCCGAATTTGGTCGTTTTAGTACACGCCCTTCAGTTTCGAAATTATTTTACGCGAAAGAAGTGTAATTGCCTACACTTGCAATCCAACAAAACGTTGAAACGGAACAGACGGAATTTGATTTTTTCCCAAGTTTGTGTTGGATGATATTCATAAGCAGCCTTAAAAACTCTTGTTAATAATTTACCGCTTAGGTATATCTGCACTTTTTGAGTTGCACTTAAAATTCATCTGCCAAAAGTTAGGTAAATTGCTCTCTCCAAATACGAATGTGGAAATGGCGCGAAAAACATAAACGACTTCGTTTCGAAAATGGCGTTTATAATTAAAAGTTTCCAGCAGAATAAAAACTTTAACGATTGAATTTTGAAATTTTTTCAGAATTTATTCTGTTTTTCTATTTCTTTGCGTTCATTGATCTTTTCAAACTGTCAGTTGACTATGTTTGCAATCTTGATAATTGATGATTTTCTATCTTTTTTCTTTCTTAGTATATTGAAAAGTTAGCGATATTTTGTTGGCTGTTTTGAAACTCGAGTTGATTCGCAACTATCCATAAAATTTCTATTTAAGGACAGGCTACTTTGCTGTTAATACATCTTTCTAGTAAATTCTTAAGAAGCCTAAGTTCCTACGATGCCAGTCTTGTTGTGTGTCAAAATAACAATGGAATCCGATGTTAGTTTTTGCCTCCATGAGCAAAAATCAAATATTGGGGAGGGGCGAAGATAAACCTACATGTTTGGGGGGTCGTGTTGACAATATGTTGGCATTAGTTGTCTTGTTTGATTGTAGGGTGGGGAGTGGAAGGACAGTGGGCAGGATGTTCCCGTGGCAGTTCCTGGCCATGAAACAACTCCTACACTCTGTTGTCATAAACAATAACAGCACACAGTCACAGCAGGCGGAAGAGGAGGGCAAAATACTAAGTACAATTAATGGACTATTTCCTTTTATACTTCCACGTGCATACCACCACAACAAACTACATCAAAAATAAGATACCTGGGGTGCTGTGCTATGCAGTAGCGGATTTAGGGGGGTCGGCGGGGATGAGGGGAAGGACGCCCAGATCCCCCCTCAGGGGTTCGACCCCCTGCCAACCCAAAGGGTCCCCACTTTGTACTATTTGAGATATCCTTTTTTGGCTGACTGACCGTAAAGTTTTCTAAAGGCGCCTTCGGTGCCAAGCTACGCTTACTTTTAGGGGGAGCGCGCGCCAAGAAAACGCGATTTTTTGGTCGAAGTTTTCCAAAAAGTGCATAAAAACGCCTTTTTGGCCTGTTTTTCACAAATTTGCCTGTGGCGCAGAAAATTTTGTCAAATTAGGGTCTTAATAGTTATTTGCGAAAGCTCAGAAAATCAATTTGGTCAACCTAAAAAAAATAGGTCGACAAAGTTTTAATTTTTTTTTGAAAATCCGGCCCCCCTCGAAGTTCCTAGATCCGCGCCTGGTGCTATGTTTTTTTAATAAGTGTCTTTGTGAGCCGGGGAGTTTTGGGCTGCTAATGACAGTTTGGCGGGGCTTTTTTCTTACTAGGCTGGAAGATATTTTTTATGGAAAAGCTCCCAATTTCACTTTTTTTTCTAGGAGCAACAGAGCAGAAAAACGGAGAGAATCAATCAAAGAGGAACAGCAGAAACAAACAGACGAAGAGGAAAAGCAAGAGAGAATTTGATAGAGATGAGATTGAGTTTGAGAAGAGGGGCACGAAAGAGTTGTTGGGGGAGGTGGAGGTCAGTTCAGACGAAGATGACGAAGGGGAGGGGGACAATGACAGACAGCAGCAGAGTAGGATGAGTTCAGCTTCCCACTCTTCTCCATTGGATGTATCTTACGACGAGGTACTAGTTGCGGCCAACAAATTCTTATTAGTTGTTCTTATTATTATAAAAATAGAGTTGTTTATTTGTTTACACTAGCGAACAGCGTAGTGTATTCTTTTTCTAACCTAACTCGCATATAAAAGTGTTCTCTTATTTGGAAATTTTATAGCATCTGTTATATGGAAATGGCATAGCATCTGTTCTCTGCTTTATTTGTGGCTAGTGTTTGGTGACTAATAAGCGTCCGTGGTGAGTGTGCGTTTTAATCTCTAGGTAGAGGTATGATATCTAGCCGTATGATAGTTGATGCCCTTTAGACAATTTTCCAACACTTCAATTGACGTAGGTTATGTCATGGATTTTTTCGGGTGTTTTTTATTAGAAACCACATTTTAAAGAGTAATGAACGTAGTGAAGACTCTTATATAGGTTTTGCTGATATTTTTTTCAGGAAAAAATCTTAAAATTTTGACTTAAGTATATTGAAATTCATCTGCTGAAATGCTATTGAAATTCATCTGCTGAAAGTGACGTAAATAGCACTCTCCAAATACAAACGTGGAAATGGCGCAAAAAAACGTGAACGATTTCTAGTTTCGAAAGTGAAATTTAATTTTTAGATTTCCATCGGAATAAAAACTTTACCTGTTGATCCAGTTTTCTCAAATTTGGTAAATGTTATCAAAAAGGGCCAATCATAAATCGTTCTAGAAATTCATTTTTTTATGTTTACTTGCGTTCATTACTCTTTTCCAATCTTCGATAGGCTGTTTTATAAACTAGATATAAACAGTTTATATATTGCAGGTACCCTCAGATTCTGAAAGTGAGGAGGCAGCTAGACGAAAAAGTGAAGAAGTCACAATTGACAAGACAGAAGAAACAGACTCCAGTAAAGCGAGTGGGAGAAAACGGAAGCGTAACAAGCATGTTTTCTCGAAGCAACCCAAAGCCAAAAAGGTGGAACCACAAAGTCGTTCGAAGCAACAGAATAAAATTCCTGTCTCAAAGCTAAAAAGTGTGTCTAAAAAACAGAAAGAAGAGGTTAAAGTAAATGCAAAATCCGTTAGTATAAAGAAGCCTGTTGAAGAGAAAGTTAGAGATTCTAAATCACAGAAAGCTGAAAAATGGGACGTTGGTTCAAAACCAAGCAGTGTGTCCCCATCAGATGTCAGCATCAGTTCGAAAGAGAACCACAAACCGGGATCCTCAAAAGTCCTCAAAGTGACCAGGCAATCTGAATCTCCGAAATCTTCCAAAGCCATTAGTTTGGATGAGTCTGAAACGGCGTCTAGCACCACGAAGCAGCAGTTTAGTGAGGGCTTGAGGAGAGGGAGGAGTAAGCAAGAGGCTAGAGAGTGTGAAGTGGTGGATTTGCGAGATTTGATCTCATCGCGAGATAGTGACTCAGACTCATCTGATATTGTCTGCCTGACCGAGTTCGTAAGTTGGTTGACTCATAAATAAACATAGTTTTGTTTACCGCATAGAGTTTTGTTTACCGTATAGAGTTTTGTTTACCGCCTTTCTTCTCACAAAAAGCTTTCTTTAAGAACGGTTGCACTGGATCTGAAATGAGTTTTATTTATGACAGGTTTTTCAGATTTGCTTTCTCGGATCTGGCATTTTTTGTGCCTCCAGATTAAGTTACATGATTTACAGTGGACCAGGGTTACCGAATGAAGGCAGTTTATCTCTGGAAATCCTCAAGATTCTGAATTTTTTATGGTTTTGTAGGTGAGATTGGCTGAAAATGAGTCGCCCAAAGGAGTATTGGGGAAGGCGACTCTGTTCCAGCGACCAATGAAAGACGAGCAGAACATGCGCCAAGTGGTGGTCAGCAGGACCAGCATGGAATCCAAGTCAATACAAACGATTCCTGTCACAATTACAGACATTTCAACTGGCCATAGCAAGTCACCGTTTAAGGCGAGAGCTCATTTTGATTGCAATTAAATTTCAGATTGAGTCCCAAGGTAATTTGGGTAATTTTGAACTACCGGCCCTTAATTGTTTGTGCCTATATGCACCGTGTTTGAGAGGTGGCGAAAGTTCACAAGAGAACTGTTGTCAATTTTAGCAGCAATATTGTATGGGGCGCATTCATTTTTTTTGCTGATAGTTAGTAGGATGTTTCACATGGTCGTTTCAGGAGATATCAGAAGTTCAATTTGGTTTGGTAAAACAAAAAGTAACTATTTTCTCAGTTTGGCCAGCCAACTAATGGAAAGGGATTGCTATAATTAAATAAGATAACTGTTGTTTCTGCAGGGTGCGGAGAAGTTCCACTTCGAGATGACCCCTGAGAGACGGAGCACAAGAGGGACAGTGTTGGCGCCCCTCTCCCTCCCAACCAACTTGCCACCCACATCCGGGAGGTCTCCACTCTCACTCAGAGTACACAGTCTCGACAAAAACAATGACGTAAGAAGATGATAAATTTGATACTAAATTTTCCTTGCAGGTGTTAATGTTAACAATATTAAGGAACACGTATTAAATTTTTAATGAAGCTAACTTATTTTAAAATGTTTTTTTTTCATCAAGTGTTAATGAAATTGAAAGAAAAATTTTTTAAGAGTAACGAACGGAATGAGTACGCTTATATAGGTCTTGCTGATTTTTTTTTTTTTTATTATTCGCGTTTTGAGTTGTGATTTCTTTTTAAGTTCAGTGCATCATTTCTATTGTTAAAAGGAAGGCAAACTCCGCTATCGAACAGCAAAAGTGTAAAAGTCACGAAAAACGTGATCGACTTCTGATTTCGAAAATGGAAATTAATTATCAGATTTCCCCTCGAAATAAAAATTTTACCATTTGATTCAGTTTTCTCAAATTTTTTGTTAATTTTATTTAAAAATTGTCAATCATAAATTCTTCTATAAATTTCGAGACCTTTAATTCCATCTTTTTTTCTTCGAAATTCAAAAGTTGAAGGTTTTCGAAAAAACAAGTCATTTTTTTTACAGTTTCCTTGCGTTCATTACTCTTTTCCAACCCTACTTGTTAGTTGGCTATGTTTATTATTGAGTTCAACATTTCATCAACCAAAAATTTAACTCGAAACTGTTTTGTTTTTGATCAGAACGAGAGTGGGACAGTGTTGTACAGTAGTCGCTTAAGGAAGAGTCCCCGGCCGAGAGGATTCGCTCTCAACTGCGAAATAAACAGAATATCACCACAACATCACACATACTGAAGTGAAGTGACGCGAACAATTCAGAAGTAGCGTGAAATGATTTCGAACAGCTGGGTTAAAACTTTTTCAAAACAATTTTTTGTTGGACTGAGTGATTGTGCACTCAAGTAGAAGATTTATTACAACCAGGCTGCAATTTTGTACCTTTGATTGGAAAATCCCACAAAAACTTAATTTACCGGATTCACTTCGCAATTGAATGCAAAACGGATCTAATAGCCCTTCTTTAGTCCTTTTCCTAGAAAAAAAATCGCATCTTTTTGATGATGATAAGGATTTTAATGGGAATATATCATGATAGTGTTGTGATTTGTGGTTAATTGTATTTTTGCTGTAGCTCTTTTTCTTCCCAAAATGTTGGGAAGCACAAAGCATTTGCTGTATAATGTTAAAATGAAATAATTTAACTGCTGCAATTAGGCTGTTATTTGTGTATTGATTTTGCTCTGCATTGTGCTTTATTAGTAATTGAACAATTTTGTTGAATCATTTTGCTTAATTTAGTTCCTAATAAAAAAGCTAGTTGTGGATCTAAGATTTGAGAGGGAGAGGATTTTCAAAAACTTCAATTTTTTTTTTAGTTCGATCAAATTTAAATTCACAGCGAAATAAATGGACCTTATTTACACAAACTTTTTTTGTATAGGTAAAATTCCGTAAAAGTATGCCAAAGTTGCCGTTGTTGGAAAATTTTTCTGCTGATTTTCATTTTTCGGCAAGCATTTTCTACCAGGATTTTTAACATAACGCCTTAGTGGGGCGCTGAGGGTGTCGAGATGTTAAGGGGAAGGGGCCGACCCTTAGTCCGAACGATCAAGTCCGAAGTGAAACTGAAAATGTCGGCTCTTTTTCCACATCTGTAAGCTTTTTAAATTTCCCAACTGTTATTACACACGCCAGCTTGAAAGCATATCGTTATACTACGATTCGACTACATTTCGCTATTAAAAAATGCATTTTCGTGACCCTTTTTCATAGTTTCGGCAAAACATGAAATCTCCAACACATTACTGTTAAGTGTTTGGTTTCTGTAAGCTACAGTGGCACAGGTCTGTAGGGCAGTCGATTTTAGTTTTTGGCAGAGTTTCTGAGGACTGAGGTTTGATACCCGTAGAGGCCTATTTGTTTCATAACTCATTACTTGGTGGGAGTGTCATGAACGATGTTAATACTTTTACATAGTTTTTTGATGATTTTTTGGAAAAAAAAATTTACGCTAAAATTTGATTTTTCGCGGTTTGACTTTTGATTTGTTGGTAAGTTCAATTCATTTCTTTTGTTAAAGGAAAAGCAAACTCCAATTTCGAAGAGCAAAAGTGCAAATATCACAAAAAGCGATTGACTTCTAATTTTGAACATGGGTTTTGATTTTAAGATAAGCGATAAGGAAGTTTATTGCAATTGGGCAATAGACTTTTTCACGTAATCAACTTTAAAAATAGTAAAACTTACCAATAAATTCGGTTCATAAAAAATTCAAATTTCTTTGCGTCTTCGGCACACTTGGGAAGGAGGTAACGAATACGGCTGGAACGGCAAAGGTCCTGGGTTCAAATCTGACAATTTGTTTCAATCTGTTTCAGAAAAAATTGTCGGATTGTTTTTTGCTTATAATTTGTGGGTTTAGTTGGCACGTCGTTAAATTTTTTTTGCCGGAACATTTTAAACAAAGGTGATCTTAGTGTTTCGATTTACTTCTGTTTGTAGTTTCTTGACTTCGTATATTTTCTTCGTTTTCTTGACTGGAAGTTCTTATGTTCAAATGATATCAGCTTATAATTTGTCGGCTCAGTGACCTTACTTTGAGTCGGTTCAAGTTAAACGTAGTTTTCATGCCCAGCTCTGGATTGCACAAATTGATAAAAATGTAAGTTCTATTTTTTCAAGACAAAAATTTTGTTTCGGCTTTTTTTATTTTTGTTGTTTTTTGGGCTTAATAGGTTTCGGCTTATATTATATCGGCTTAGTGTTTTCATTCTGCTTCAAATTACACGCAAATAAGTTTTCTGTTTGTTCATTTTGAAGAGCGAGAGGGTTTTTTAACTTTTTACATGTCTTAAGTCTGGTTGATTTTTTCGGCTTTTTTGCGGTTTTTTTACCGCTTGGTAATTTTTTTCCGATGCTAAGTTTGTCTTCTAATGACTTGCCATGTTTTTGTTTAAAAGTATTTGTTTTCTTGCGTTCATTATTTATTTTACAACTGTCTGTTGGCTGTTTTTTTTTCTTTTTGACGCGATTACGTTTTTTTCTTTTTGACCCAATTACGTTTTTTTCTAGACGTTTTTTTTTTTGCTTTTTGCGAAGTGCAGAATCGCTTTTGTGTGAAACGCAAGTGTTTAGGTTTTCAAAGCGTCAGTATCGCAGTCGTGTAGGCAGATGACTTGGATGCTTGAGGTCTGTGGTTCCATTTTTGGAGGGAATTGCTTTCAAAATTAATTATGTTTCTTTTTTTGTCTTTTTGTTACCTTTTGAAGGCTAGTTCATGACAATTTATGGCTGGTGTTTGCAAAGTAGAATTTACTATCTGTGTAAGAATTGGAATCCTGGCTTTTGAGGTTATTCCAAACAATGCAGTATTATAAAAATCCAAATTGTGAAATAGATATTTTTTTGGTATTCACGCTGCTTTGTCCGAATAGTTTGCGGTTTTTTCTTGTGTTTGAACTGACTTTTTTCAAGTTCATCTGATTTTCCAGAAAAATTACGCTGTCAGACAACAACAAATTCAAAGTAGCGAAAAAATCCAAAAATTAATTTTGTTTGTAGATTTTTTAGCGGAACGAAAACTGTTATTATTTGATCCAGTGTTTAAGCGACCGGAGCGTAGTGTCGTACCGCATAGATTTTTTGATTTTTCTGATTTAAGCTGCAAAACTAGCGCTATTTTTGGTGTAATTTTTAAATTAAAAGGTTGAGTTGGCTATTCAATGGCCTTCGTTTTGATGATGATGATGATGATGGTGATGATGATGATGATGATTGGTTTTGAAACTCTTTCTTGAGCTTTAGAGTGGTAGAAGGCTAACAAAGCCTCACAGAAGAATGCAGTCTTCAAGACTTGTTTGAATGCAGCAAATTCGTCAATATCGTTTACAAAAGCGGGCAGTGAGTTTCATGTTACTACTCGTTGGGAATTGCTTCTTTTCATAAATTCTGTTCTGCATTTTGGCACAACAAATTCCGTTTTGACATTGGATAAGTAATTTTTAAAGCTTTTCTTTCTAATCAAAGGAAACGCACAAAATTAATTGTTTCATACAATACAATAATAAAAACTCAATTTCAGAAAGTTTCAAAATCAGTATATTTATTGGAATTCTTGAGATGAATAAATTATACACAATTTGGAATAACAATATTACTTTCAGATTTCTTACACGCAAAACCATTGTGGATGACTTATCATTGTTTGTTACATCGCAATTTATTCAATGAAGTTGTTGCTCTGCGTTTTCAAGCTCCTTTTTGCTTCATTTCAGCTTGTCTTTGGTATCTATAGGCCTTACTGGCACAATTGCAGTGCAAGTAACTGAGAAACTTGATTGACCAAGGACTTAGGTTCATTTCTCATAGAAGTTTTTTTTATTTTGTTTTCAGGTTTGCTCTTTTTTTACTCTATTAAAAGAAGTTTTTGGTGTTTTTTGCTTGTGTTTGCGATGGGCAGCTTCGCTTCTCTGTCTCAAAAAACTTTATTGTAATAGCCAAGTTTTATGATGAAACCTGAGAAGCAATGGAAAACTTTAATCAGACAAGTTCTCTGATGAAAGTCTTACTTAGAGTCAATCTTTTCTATGGCACCTAACTCTGTGGACTAATCATCAAGAGAGTGAATTTGATCTCATTAAAAATCACAAAATCTTCAATCTTTTCTTTTTTGACGGTCCGGATCTTAAACTTCATTTTCTACGTTAATTCATCGATAGAAGCTCGCTCGCCACGTTTAATTATGAATTGATTTTTGACTTATAATTTAAAAGCGGATATTCTTTTTTGTTATTCATATAGAAATTTACATATTGATCCAGTTTCTGAAGTTCGGCTAGTTTTTACAAAAAGCCATAGATTAATTTTTTTCAAGGGTCATTACACGAATTTTTTAGCAGTTCAAACTAATATTATTGTTCCGACCATTGAAAATGGGAAGGAACTTTGTAAACAGTTGTTTAATTTTTTCCATTTTTTTGTTTTCCTCGCAAAATCAGGTACCACTAATAATCATCGGACTGGGTCGAGTGAAGTATCTAATTAGAGACTTTTCATTCGTAATTCGAGCGACATTAAATATTTTTCAAAAAAATTGCAGTGTCGAGAAAAAACCAGTTTGGAAACTTTGATTTTTCGTCTAATTTCGGGCGAGTGAGCAGGCTTACAGTAGCTTATTTATGCTTAATTTCAGCCTTCAAATATTAACTTCACCCAAGTAAAGTTAGTTTTTGGAAATTTTAGCGCCCTATTAGGTATCAAAAATTTTTCTTACTGTTTTTTTTTGTTTTATAGTAATTTTTCTACAAAAAACTGTTTTTCATATTGGTTGCTTTATAAAGAAATAGGTTCACATATGCCTAGTTTCTAGTTTTTTGTTCAGATTCTTTTATCACACCACGCGAAACAAACAACGCTAACTTGAAAGAAAAATTATTTTATAAGACTATGGTCGGAACATTCTATTCTAATTGCACAGTAAACGGCTATCCTTGTTATATTTTTTGATATCATATGCGGGTTGAATATCAACTTTTTTCATTTTATTCTAAGACGAGGTATTGCAAAGGGTGTTGCAATCGGTTACTAGACTTTTTTTGAGTTAATCATTTTGTTCACAGTTTGCTCAAATTAGAAATGGTAAATTTAAGTTCAGTTAGTTTAATGTTCATCAATTTTCTCAGCTTTACCGGAACACTTAGCCTAAGCCTGAAAGGTACAAATATGCGTGAAACGGCAAAAATCCTGGGATCAAACTTTACAGGCGTAACTGCCCCAATTGACTTCGGTTTATATTTTATCAGCTTAGTGACATAATTTTGAATCGTATTAAAGGTAGTCGTTTTTTTTCTTTTTTTTCGATTTGATAGATTTCGGGCTATGTTATATATCAATTTATTGGCCTTAAATTGCGTCTTTCGACCAACAAAAAATCTGTGGAATAGTTTCTGTGTTTTGAGGGTGAGGGAAACTTAATAACTTTTCATTAGTCTTAATTTGTTTTATTTTATTTTTCGGTTTTTTTTTCGATTCTTTTTTGGCTTAATAGGTTTCGCCTATATTATATCAGAATAGTGGCTTTATATTGTTTCATTTGGTGTGTGTTTTTGAGGAGGAGGGGGGCTTATAAATTTTGAGGAGGAAAGGGACTTTGTATTAGATTTGAGTCTTGTTGATTTTTTTCGGCTTAAAGGGTTTTTGCTGAGGATTTTTTGGCTTTGTAACCGCTTTGTAATTTTTTTGGATTGTCTGTGCATCTTTTTTCAAAACTAGCCTGATTCATT